GCATGTGATCCATCTCAGGAGAAATGAGATTGTCAAAGCAAGTGGCACCACAAATGGTATGCTCTGATTATCATAACTCGTCAGTCTCCCAGCCGAACATCTAGTCAACGAAAGCGGAAAGGACATACCATCAGCTCCTTCGCCCTCGGACTGTCGGCAATATTCAAAATCCCACGGAACAGACAAATGGCCCCTATGATTCTCATTCTCAAATGCTTTCCTTCTTGTGCTTCACTCAACCTCTCCCTAAACCTCCTCATAAGCTCAAGCGAGATATATGAACTAAACGAATGTCCTATAAGAATCACCCTGCATTCGCCACCATCTTCGTTCAGACTCTTAGCACCAAGTCTCTTCACATGCTGCATCAACAACCTCTCAGCAAACCGAATCTGGTCCTCAACACCAAAAGGCAGCTTTTCATCCTTCAGATTTTCGGAGAATCTGAAACGCATTCAAACCCCACCAAGGTCTCGCCGATGATATGGATCTAGCAACCATTGAGTTCCTGGGAGATGTTTTCGGAGGAGAGGAGAGGAGAGGAGAGGAGAGGAGAGGAGAGGAGAGGAGAGGAGAGTATGCAAGTGCGTCAAGAAAGTGCGGTGGTATTCTACCAAGCCGGGGTTTCCGGGGATGAAGAAGATGAGGTATCTGTGCTTGGTCTTTCGCAGTACAATTACCGGGTAGGCAACCCAGCGGTCCCAGCCAACGCACGTTGGCTATCTACCGGGGCCAAGGTATTTCTGGGATTTGGTGTCGGTTGTAGGTGTTAGCTATTGGTGTTGGCGCTAATTGTTGATTGTTGGTTGTTGGTTATGTACCTGTTTTGGAGCATCATAGTCGTCACAAGGCCGCTTCTTGTTTCAGATCTTTTAGAAACGGACGTTGGATTGTTCCTTGAAGTAGCGGAAGGTAAGGATCGTGATTGGGTTTTGTCGGTCGTCTTAGATGCTTCACCTAGGTTGTTATAGAACCGGCGGCAACTCCTGAAACATCAATGTAGGTGTGATTCCTCCTAATGCCAGAGATGTTTATATTTATGTATAAAAGGGCAGGTCCTAACTTCGTTAGGTTAAATAATGGTCATTCATACACTCATAAATCAATCTCTTTATCAGCATCAATTTATTTCCCTAGCTATCAATTAACACTTTTCACATGGGATGCGGCCCGAGTAAGCCAAGCAAGTCCAAAAAGGGAGGCGGAGGCGGGGGTGGGAAGAAATCGGGAGGCGGAAAGAAGGCAGGAGGCGGACAGGCAGGCGGGGTGCTGGGCGAGTCCCAGGAGTTACAGAATTACGACCCCATTCGTTACGAGAATAACGAGGCTGTGGTTCGCGATCCACACCGCATCGTCACCCAAGTTCACTTCGTCGCTCAGACCGTCCTCGAGAGCGGCGGAAACCACTGGGGCATATGCCTTCAGACCGGTCCCTGCGAGTCCATTCGCCTCAATATGGATCCAAGCAACGTACTCGGAGCGCAAGCACCCAATCACGGCTACCGGGGGCGATTGTACATTCGTTACCGGGACCACGCTATAACCAATAACCAAGAGAAAATTGTAACTATACCTGCCAATCCGGGACATTCGGTCGCTCAGTTTATCGATGTGATCATTAATGAAGGCAACCATTTGTACGACCTCACTACGAGAGGCAGGGGCTGCACTGGGTGGATTCTCGACCAGTTCATCCTCTTTGAGCATTACCACCTCATTCCGGGCGGATATAATCTAGCAAAAGTGATAGGCCAGCAGTGGGAGGATGGGCACGCAACAAAGCCTGATATTGGAGTGACTCGTGGGACTTATATGAGGAATACGACGTATGGAGGCTGGGCTGGGAGGGGGGCCCTTCGGCGTCGATAATGTAGGTGTAGCTTTGTAGAACACAGCTGGCAGAGTGGTGATAAGGAGGCTTAATTTTAGAAGCAAAGAGGCTGCGGAGGGAAATATATCCACTAGCTTCACACTAAAATTCCACGTGATCAGATTTAGACATTTGAAAGTAAGGCCGGCCTTGAGGCTTAGGCAATAACGTTACCGCGATTTCGACTTTGACCGCAGTGAGGACATGGTTATGTTTCAGCTCATGCGCGCGGCTAAAGTGCTAAGCTCGTCAAAAGTGTTGGCCTTACTCTCATAACTTATAGATGACTCTCAAACCACCACACACCGCCTTGCAAACGCATCTCAACCGAGATTGTCGCCCTACTTGAGTTCTAGCCATGTCTTGATATGGGATCCTCATTGTCTAAGAATTCGAAAGCTCAAAAGCGCACTAGAAAGCCTAAAACGCACGCAAATCCGGAAGTGAATGAAGGAACTATTCAAAATGGCTTTGGAAAGCCCTATAGAGATGTAAGTAAACTGTATAATACTTTGAGCTTTTTTGGACATACTAATATAAATTGCGTAGCTTGAAGCAAGAGATGATCGTCTTTCATTTCCGTTAGATAAGCTGCAATTATCTTTAGTGTCGGACCAACAGCTTGCACGGTTGTTTTCTACTGCACCAAAACTTCACGAGTATGGCGGTGTGAAGGTCGTACGGCTCTCCAAATCCCTTGCCGGTAAAGGTGGACGAGGAGTTCTTCCGTGCGAGTCGCAGAATATGATATTCGCTGCAGAATCGTTGCATTTACCTGTCCCTAGAGTTCACCGCACTTTCACGGCCGATGTCCCTGGATTCGCAGAAGGGCAGCTCGTAAAGGCTTACTTTATCGTCATGGATTACATACCGGGACCAACGGTTGACGAGTGCTGGAACTCTCTAGAAGTAGACCAGCGGCAGTCGGTAGCTGGTCAGGTTGCTGCTATGATCGAGAAGATGCAGTCGAAAACCCTCAAACTACTACCAGGGCCTATCGGATGGACGGGAAGTCAGAAGTTCGTGGGTCCTTGGTTTACAGAAGACGGTGCCGGCCCTTTCGCGTCGTTACAGGACCTAGAGGACTGGTGCAATCATAAAATCGATGTCTGCGTACGATATCAACAACTAGAGCAGCATCCACCAAGGTTTAAATTTCGGAGGCTAGTACTCACACATCAAGACATCGCGCCACGGAATCTCGTCCTCGACGCTCAAGAAAAGGTGTGGATGATTGATTGGGCCTTTGCAGGAGTATATCCTCCTGGGTTTGAGCAGGCTGTTCTCCAAGTACGGTCGGGGCGGTATAGGGAATTTGCAGAAATGGTGCTCTCGAAGCTATCGGATCGGCAGGAACGTATAACAAAACAATTTTTTAGTATCGGATATGGCCTCTCGCTTGCTGCACGCATATAGCACAAAGAATTCTCACCATATGTGATGTGTATCACTGTTGCAATTGACATGATTGGCATGCACGTGACTGCATAGAGGCTATGTATGTGCCTTAGGCAGCAAGCTCCAGGTTATACAGACCTGGACCAGCCCTTCCTCTCTTCTCTCCTTGCCTTAGATTCTAAGAGATTTAGCAATATCAAGCCTTTTCTCTACTTATATTTATTTTAGTCTATAATTTAGACAGAGCATGAACCAGTTATGTTTTTATGCTCCTTCGGCTCTTCACCTTCAATTGTGCTTGAATGCTTCACGAATTAATAGAGGAACGAAAAGGAAGGTTTTATATCAGAAGACGTCCTTTATTAAAAGGTTGACATGCTGTGTGCTTGAAAACTTAGGAGGGTATCTGGAGTCTGAGAAATTATAGCCGAGGACCTCGTCACTTGTCGACTAGCGTGGAACGAAACCCCTCAGAAAACAGAGGTTCAAGCCTCGAATTTCCGCGGTATTTCGTTCGGTATCGATCAAGATATGAGCAAATGGCGTCGATCCAGAAAGTTTGCTTTTCCGTCGAGGATCTGAAGCATTGCAAAGCCATCCAAAGGTTTTCTCTGACAAGGAAAGGATTTCCCTCAAGCTTAATCTCTCGCATCGACCCGTTTAAGTCTCCCCATTCGTACGACAACGCTTCGTACGGTCCCACTGTTGGTGATTTAGATAGTCGGTCCATAAACTGCATCTGATCTCCTCATTTCTCCTGCTAGGAAGAAGATCGACAAAACGAAGTTGATGCGCTGTCAATCTCAGCTGTGTATAGATGTTGGAAGATGGGTTGATCTCCTTCCCACCGACACCGACCACTGCGTTCTCGCCGATTGAGTTCTCGACAGGAGTTCTTGGTAGAGACGTCCGCGGTCACTTTTGAGAGGGAGTCGTAGTTGTGGGAGGGCTTTAGCTTCTTGCGATTGTTTTCGTTTTCGTATTCGATCCTTAGCTTGTGGAAACTAGACTTGAATTAGCTCTATAACATGGTAAGAGAAAAAGAGATATGCCTCTCTGCTGGGAGTGTGGCTGGTTGGGGAGGGAAGAGGGTGCTTTGGGAAAGAAACCCCAAAGCCTGGAGCAGTCAATAGTCGCAGGCATAGGTGTCAATAAGCCGACGTACCAATGGATGTAGAATCGAGTCTTTGAATTGATGTATGTTGGAGTTGAGTTATTTGAGGCTGCCTGGTGAGAGCCTTGCGGGTGCCGATGACTTGTGATATCCGCACAGCCTCATGCGCTGTCACGGGCCACCTGCAGGTACGTTGGTTAGGCAACAACAGAATGTATACTAAAAGTCTCAATCAACCACAGCTGCAAGGCTTTCCACGGAGATCTACCTTGGTTGTATAAGAGTAAGTAACATAGAACTGTATCCGAGAATGTTCTCATGTGCAACGAGAACACAAAGTGAAGTATAAGAATATATAGGACTTCATTCAAACGATATGTAACTATTGATCTTTAAGAATTTCAGAGCTGAGGAGGGAATCTGGAAATAAAGCTTCATTCGAGTTAATTTGAGAGAGCAGAAAGCGTGAAGCAATGTTGCGAAAGCCAAATCGCTGCTGTGAAGACCCACTCGTCGTGCCTTGTCCAAATATTGCCACAGTAAGGCCGAAGCGGATTCACACTCAATTGCTAAAGTGTATGTATAATATTAAATGAGCAAAATTCTGTAATTCAAAATGGGGCTGTGACGCAGCTGGTAGCGTGCTTCCTTCGCATCTAACAAGATTCGAATATGGAAGAAGTCATGGGTTCGAATCCTATCATCTCCAATTTTTTGCTTTTTGGTCCAAGTTTCTAGTTCCTAATAAGAACTATCTCATGCCAGCAAAAATCGTCACGGTATAAGCTCAAAAACAAACATTTTAGGGAGAAGGAAAGATCATTACTTTTTTGCTTGAGCACTTGGTCTATCCCGCTAAACAAACGACCGACCGACCTATTCTAAGGAGCTCTTGGGCAAAGTAGCTACCTTCTCCTGGAACAGCTTCTCAGCCTTTGCCCAAGGATCGGTGGTTCGCCACTCGTTCAAAGTCAGGAGACTTGGCAACAAGTCCTTGCTGAACGCCTCGCTTGCCTCTCGTGGCAACAAGCTTGGCAAGTGATCAATGCTAATGACTGACAGCTTGGGTTCACCCTTGACCTCAACAGGAACCGTCGGCTCCGTGAAAGTCGTAGCCACAGTGTAGACCGGGACAGGGTTGTTGGGGTTCGTGGTATCGGCACTGACATCGCAGATGACCGACAGCTTGCGGTCGGGGGTATCGAGGCTCTTCATATCGACGAAGTTGGGGATCTTGGACATCAGGTATATGCAGTTGACGAAGATATCGCTTTCGACGATCTCGGGGAAAGGTCCGCCCTTGGCTGTCTCTGCCAGATCCCACTCGAGCACGTTCTCGGTTGGTACACCAGCTCGCAAGCACATGTCTACTGCTCCGCTGCCACATCGTCCTAGAGCACCAATGACTAGAACTCGAGGATCCCGTCCGCTCTTCTCCTTGCCTGCTGCAATTGCCTTCTTGACGTCGACGATCAACGCATCTTCGTTGGGGTAGCTTGAGACACCAGGGAAGGGCTCAGAAGTCGGGTGCGTGAGTTGCCAGGCCCATGTCTCCAACGCCAGAGCTGCACCTGCAAAGCCAGCGTGATATCCAAACTGCCCAACAAATTAGTATTGTAAATAGACATTTATTGGCAGAAGGTTCCGGAGCTGAGAGCTCTCTCAAGAGCCTACATGCAAATGGAGCGTCTCAGCTCCCAAGATAGCTCAAAACTCCGGAGTTCCCATACAAGAGAACAGCAAATTAGTACAGAATTAAGCACGTACCGCTGCGACCCGGCGTCCTCGGTCGTCAGTCAAAAATTCGAGGTCTAGTAAGGTTCCACCGCCGCGAGGGAACCGAGCCAACACCTTCTCCCAACCTCCTTGTTGCTTGTAACAATGTGCGAATTGGACATGTGTGTGCTTGAGAGGGACTGGCATATAATCAGCTATGAATTGAGATCCAATTGGGGCTCTGCGACTCACACTCCTCAACTGGCAACTCCTTCAATCCAATTATGATATGATCAGTAGGGGCTTCTCTCCATGTGTTCTCTGGCACCAATGTAGCTCCAATCTTCTCGAACTCCTCATCGTCGAATATTCGCTCTGGGCTTCGTTCAACTCTGACTGTATATCCAGCATTAATGAGTGCTTTGGCGGTAGATGGTGTGAGGGCAGATCGATGCTCGAGGGCCTTGCCCACTGACGAACGCATTAGTAGGTTCCGCAACATCATGCCAACGGGGTCTTACACTCGGAACGGAGGTGAAGAGTGGTTCCCGACATGATGGAGACACTCAATTGAAGTTTGATGTTCAATTGAGAGGAATTGGAAGGATTTATAAATCGGGTGGTGGTGGGCAGATTTTTGCGTGTTCTCCCAGTTCTGCCGCCGTGACTCACGGCGGTGAGATTTCCACCAGGGGTTCGCTTGAGGCTGACATCGCCCTCTTTTAACTCACTTCTTCAACATCTCATCAACTTCATTTGAAGGTGTCTACGCCTTTGGTGCAACTTTTGAACTAAGTGTGCAATCACATTTACTATGGTCACAGTGTCCTGCGACTTATTGAGCCCTCGCATCGGTCTTAGCGTTTCCCGCGTCCAAAATATGAGTCCTGCTCAAGCGTCCAGCTTCATCTATTTCTGAGATGGAACAATCCCCTCGAAAAGCAGAAGTGAGTGTTTCTTCAGCTGTCACTCGCTTCCAATTCAGTGAAGGGAATCTCTGAATCCGAGAATATGAATGTCACTAGCTTCAATTGAATAGTTCTCACCCTAACACCCCGCGCTTTGATTTCTTGGTTTTGTTTCGTCGATGTTTCTTAACATCCATAACCTACTCTTGGCACTAGAACGACATTCAGATCAGATATGATTGGGATCTTGGCGAACCCGGCGGAGGTCTCCCGAGCTCTCATTGGGTTCCAGTCGTTTGAGATCGTCCGGATGGATCTCCTGTCTGAAGCTTGTCCTCCGACAGCCTAAACTGAGAACGTGGGGCTGCTTTATCACGATGTGCTATTATTCTATATATCTTCGGTCATGACGTTCGTCAAATTTGTGATGGCTTCACGCTGGTTGTAGTTTGTTCATAACACTCTTTTCGTTCAATACCCAGCCACAGGCATGGCTTTCTCTTCTCGACTGCGAGGTGCTCTCGCCGTTCTTTTGTATCTTCAATTTTTCTTTAATTTGGTATTGGCCCAGAATGAGACCGGAGTGTTGCCCGGATTCGGGGATACAGTGCAAGTGCTCGGAGCTGTAAGTTGCATACCTACAAAACTTGGCATCTTCTAACAAATTCAAGATGGAACGAACAGACCAAGATTTCAAAGACGGCCTAGCACTCGACCTCTTCTCTCCCAAAAACCGAACCCTCACCGTCAAGCAAAACACCTCTCCCCTCAGCGCCAAATTCATAACGGGTAACTCAGGAGAGCCTTTCGTCGCGCTCTCAAACTACTCCTACATCGTCCAAATGAACGAAACAGCCAACGACCTGATCGCCAAAATCGAGATCCCCTACGACGTAACCATGCTCAACAAAGTGGGTGTCCAAGAGGCTAATACCTATGTCGCTACCATGTCCTCCGATAAGAAGAGCTGGGTAATCGATGACGCGACAAGAAATGTTCATCGTAGCGAGAACAATACCAGGATCATCAAGATGACCTCCCTGGATGGGGAATATATGCTTGTTGGAAGACAGACGGTAGATACGAGTAATATCTTCGTCCAGTATGGGCAAGGCGCAACAAGAACGGTCAACATCACAGGTGGTCCTGGTATTCAAGAAGCGGAGTTCATTGATGGGTTTCGCTTCTCAGTTCAGACCAATATGTCGATGACTATGAACGTCGATATCAAGAACGGGGTTAATCCTGGGACGTTGCCGGCTAATACACAGTCGCTGAATTCGTTCATGTGGATTGTTAATACGAGTGCGCCGTTCAACCAAATCAATGCTCAGATGTTGGTTCCTTGTAAGTTCTTCGAGCCCTGGGTAGTCTTTGCAGATGTACTGACACGAAGCAGTCAATCGTAACATGCTGGTAGCAATGAAGCCTGCCGGTTCTTCACCATCAACTATGCTCACAGTAGCCAAACGAGCACTAAACGCTACAAGCGGACAATTTCTGCCAGTCAACCCCGGTGTTCAACAAGTAAGAGAATTGCCCGAGGACAGGATATCGATCCCAGCTATGAATCAGCTTGATGGGCAGTATGTCGTCCTTGTCACGGAGCCGAAGCCTGTAGGAGAGAGTTAGTCGTCCATACCCCATGTTTTTGAAATGGAAGCTGACTTGAGATCCAGCTTTACCTGCTTCGAATATCGTTAGCCCTAAAAGAAGGAGGAGGATGGAACATGCTGTATAGTATTTGTAAGGTGCTCTAGCGTTAAGGATAAGGTTATTTCATAAAGACGAATTTCCTGCTGAGTTTGTGACTTCTGTGAGAAAGTGAAGCAAAGTCCTTTCAAGGCCATCTTCGCGTAAGTAAACCCTTACGTGGGCACAATATTGCAATTCTTGGGCATATCACCTTATCTGAGGAGGCTGGTGAGCACATGTTCTAGTGAGTACATCTTCGCTCTTAAAGAGTTAGCTTGATTGAGGACAATGTAGTAATGTCAGAACTTAAGCTATTCGAGAGATATTTGAAAAATTTGTTGATGGCACCAGGATTTCTTCTCGAGACAGACAATGGCCTGGAAGCTTGATGGTATTATGTTTCATCTAGCTAACCGACATCCTCCATATTAGGCCTCGCTATAGGGGTGTTCCCAAAGCTCTCTAATCCACGATCAAATATCAATGGGGCGGCAAATCCACTGCTCTGAGCATCAAACACAGCTTGCGGATCAGAAATAGCCCCTTTCGTATCTGCTTTCAAAGCAGCGTATTTCGAGCCGGCTTGCTTTAACAGCTCTTGAACCTCGGCTTCCCTCTTCCCAATATCAAGCTTCTCTTGCTTCGACTCCTCTATCTTCTTTTGCCTCTTCGCTAATTCCAGTTCCATCGAGTTCAACGTGCTTTGCAGTCTCTCAAGACACTCTGACAAATTCGGCAAAGACGTGATCTTCGAAGGCATCTGAACAGTACTTCGATCCAGCTCCTCGGGTTTATGAAGCCCGTCCATTCCAGCTCGAGTTTGCGCTGCTTCATATGCAGCTCTCCGTTCTGCTTCAGAATCATCTGACTCATCTTCCGAACTGCCTTCTGCTTGGTGGATCATGTCCGCAATCTCCTTTCTCTGGCGTTTCCTCGCTGCCTTTTCTGCTTTCTTGCCCAAGGAAATCCTTCCATCATCTACAAACTCATCGAACCCTTCGCCAAGATCCTCATCTTCCCTCACTAACCTGGTCTCCTTCTCCTTCTTCCGTGGTAAGAGTGAGATTTGCCGCCTATCATCCCCATCATCATTCAGAGATATAAAATCTTTCTCGTGAGCTAACCGCGCTCTTCGTTCTTTCTTCTCCTTGATCTCGGCTTCCGTGGGTATATAAGCAGCACCTGGTTCTGCTTCTACGACCGTAGCGCCTTCTATCTCTGACGCATCCAGCATCTCCTCATCCTCAGCTGTAGCATGTAAAGCTTGTAGATCCTTTGGTGTCGTAGGCGTAGAGCTCTTAAGCTCATTCAGATAATCCTTGCTATACGTCGGCCTCTCATCATCATCCTCAATTGACCTAACCGGCAACCCTTGATAAGGAAGACTCCT